TCACGATGTGTATCTTCTTGTTTGAAGGGTCTTTTATGTAGAATATCTGCTCGAACTGTTTCGCATGTACAAATGGTTCATCGGCGTATCCCACCCTTGATAGATCTACTAAAGTGAAACCTTCCTTGTCGGCTTTGACACCAGTGCGTAGATTCACCCAATGACAGCGGAACAAAGGAACCTTGAACTTGATGTAGTTTAGCTCCCAGATCTCCTCAATGCGGCTGTAGTATGTGTTTGACCCAACTTGATCCTGGAATGCATCTATACGGACGCCGTTGTTTTGCACTGTGCTTTTGTCATCTTGTTTGACGGTGTAAAATGTGTATCCATTTATATCGTATCCTTGCCATGTGTCTACAGTCCAAGACGGTCCCATCCCCAACAACTGTACTGTTTCATTTGGGACATCCGTGGACATTGTCACACGATTCTTGAACCATTCGTTGAACCGAGAATTATGTTCTCTGTTAATCCATGTATCAGATCGCCCCAAGTTCTCATCTTAGATTTTCACTAAGTGCTCCTCAAAGTATGGGCCAACTTCTACCATATGTTGGAGCACAGTGTAATGAGCCTGCGCGTAGGACGCTTGATCGGGCCTAATTCTTTTCCTTCCGATTGTGCCAACACCTGACAACCTTCCTTCGTGACGAGATGCTGGAACTCCGATAGGATCGGCATCGGACATGAAATTGACGCAGAACTCAATAGCCTTCTCGGTCGTGTAACCTTCAATGATGCTCCCCTCGGGTTTAGCTCTGCTACGAACGTAGGACTTCAGAACTCCCATGTACCTTTCAAGTGGCCACATTTCCCTTAGAAAAGCTGGGCCACATAGTTTTGTTTGCTTCACCAGATGAACAGGGAGATGAACCATGATATCAAAGAAAGACAGTGGGAAAAACATCTCCAGGTGACAGAGGGTATTCACAATATCGGTCTGCAACCCATCAAGATCTTCTGGATCTATAACCTTCTGTCCGATTGCATTGAAGATGGCGCACATGCGTTGGATCGTGTGACGCACTTTCGGTGGTAGAATGCCTCTGATAGCAACTGGCAAGATTTGTGTGATTAGCACGTGGCAATCGTGAGACTTCATTCCAACCAGTTTTAGCTCGTCCAATTTAACATACTTGGTTATCCTCGCTGAATAGCCCGATGGAACTTTAATATCTTTCAAGCATGATAACATTGCGATTTTCTCATCCTTCGACAATGTGTGGCAGGCTAGAGGGAGGTACACTCTTTTTGTCTCTACATCTCGTATGGGCTGGAGTTCACTGCGAATATTCATGTCCTGTAGATCAAGGCGCGCGTTTAACCCGTCCATTGTCTTCCCGTGAATATTCAACATCAGGCCAACCAAACTCTCACACACATTCTTTTCTACATGCATGAGATCAATGCAATGACGGACATCAAAATCTTTCCAGTAAGGTAGCCGCCAAAATATGGATTTTTTCTTCCACATACCCTTCTCCTTTGTCTTGCTACGTTTTCTTTTCTTCCCAAACTCATTACTTATGTCCTTGACCATATTGTGGACCTCATCTCCGGACAAATCCTTTGGAGCAGGTTGAAGTTATCTCTTACCGTTAAGAAAATTCTTCTTTCTTCTAAATGCGCGACGTAGCGGGAGCCACCTCCGATGACCCATGTATACCATCTTTCGTGATTTCTTCAGCCACCGGCTTCGTGTATGTTCCTTGCAATCGGAGCATGCCTTCTTTCCTTTTATAGTTTGTCCGGAAAGATTACCGAGTGCAGGGTAGTCATTAATGGTGCAGAACAATAGAACTCTTAGCTTGAAGTTCTCCTGACCATATGCATCCCAAGTTTCCACACCTTTTTTCCAAAGAATCTCAAGATCATCGATAACAGGTTCCAGGAATACATCGATATCATTGCCGGGTTGCCTCGGACCTTGGATTAACAAGCACAACATAATATATTTCCGTTTAAAGCATAACCATGGCGGGAGGTTATAGTTCGCAGTAAGAACCGGCCAAGTGTTGTGAGTACTACTCATGTCACTGAAAGGATTCATGCCATCCGTACACAGACATATCCTTATGTTTCTAGGGTCGGCAGCAAATTCTTTGTATTTTTGATCGATATTCCTCCATTCAATCGAATCCGCTGGGTGTTTAAGCATACCGTCATTCCTTCTCTCCGTGGCGTGCCAACGTACTAACTTCGCTTCGTTTGGGTTGGCGAAGATTCTCTTGAAACGATCAATTATAGGTAGATACCACACAATCTTTGCCGGACCACCCCTCTTTGACTTCTTTCCTTCGTCAACACTTTTCTTTCGCTTGTATCGAGAAGCCTTGCAGACAGGACAAGCATCCAAGTCCGCATATTGCTTGTGGTACAATATGCAGTTGTTTGGACAAGCGTGAATTCTACAGACCTCTATATAACCCCAGTGGACACAGAACCTGCTTTGCTTCGTATGTCGTCTCGGGCAATGTGTTCTCAGTAGGAAGCATAGCCTTCCAAATTCCTAAAAGATCTATGAAACTCTTGTCTGTCCATCTACTACTTGCCTTCAACTTCATTAGGTCCAAGGTAACTGACAACTTAGTGTGCTTTGCTTTGCATCCAGCGTACAGAGGCGTCTCAGAATCACTGACCAACCTGCTGAACTTCATGGAATCTCTCTCATTCTGGGCTGGGTCCTCAACGTCACGTAACATGTCTTGCAGCAGATCGTGATCCACATCAACCATTTCACCGCCCAATGGAGAAGGTATAAACATGTCATGCTCATCTTCATCTTCCTGATTATGTGCACCACTTCTGTCTGCTGCTGCTCCACTTCCTGATTCTTACTCTCCATGCTTCACCCAACATGTATAGCCCTTCATGAATCCTCGTTTTATCAGATGATCGTGAACATCCTCTGCGCTATCAAACATATTCTCATTCTTGCAATCTGCACATGGAGAACACATGTAATTGCTGTTTCTTCTTTTCCTATCCTCCTCCGCGGCGTTCATAAAATTTATTACGCCATTTCTGTATTCCAGAAAATGACGTTTCATATTTTTCGCATACATCCAACTTCGATTAATTGCTACAAAATAAAAAAAACAAATTAGAGGTACATCTTATAAGATCAGTATTGCTAAAGTAAGACGTGATGAAATTGCTCAATTAATGATTAATATTACTCACTTGATTGCTCCATTTTAATCACTTTTGGGAATTTTCTGTTTTCCTTGCAAAAAAGACAAAGAACCACCCCCTATACCCTCCCACCAAAATAGTGAACAATGGGATATAGTTACACTAGGTTGTGGGGGGTATTTATACTATGCAACAAATATCTGTAACGGCCCTAAAACAATCAACCATGACGGGCATACAAGTAATCTCTACCGGGCCTTAATTAAAGCCCATAAAAAAAGAGTGTCATCTGTGACGGGCATTAAACTTATCTCAATCAGGCCTCTAGTTGGAGCCCGTCACAGATGACCCTCATCTGTGACGGGCTTCTTTTAGGGCCCGATTGAGATATGGCACCCTTATCTCAATCGGGCCTCAACTATGGCCCGTCACAGATAAGTGTCATCTGTGACGGGCTCTAGTTTTATGCCGATCTACCATGGCTATGCGACCATATCTCAATTGGGCGAAACTTTGACCCGATTGAGATTACTTCCTTGTGACGGCCCACAAATTCTAGTCTTGCTAGGGGCCGTCACAGATGGAAGGATCGGTACTAGTGTCTCTCTCTAAAATCCATCCAAATTCATTTGTTGTTTTCCTTAGAGCCATCCAAACACATTATTTTTTGAATTCGCGTGTTTAGATTTGCATGGGATTCGTACCTACCTTTCGTCCAATAAAAAATGAATGTAGGACTAGATGTGACATATCCTAGTACAATGAATCCGGACAGAGGTATGTCCAAATTTGTTGCACTAGGATGTGTCCCATTAAGTACTAGGTTGGTTTTTTATGGGACGAAGGGAGTATATGATATCCTAATCCAACGTTTTTCCTGTTTCCATATTTCTAAAATCCTGTGTTCCAAAGGTGTCCTTAACTTAGCAACTGCACAAAAGTCGAATTCCAAATTTAGTCTTGTTTGGGAAAACAGATGAAGAAAAACATTGGAAAAAAATCTATTTAATAGGAAAGTATGGCAACTCATGGGCTGAGCCTCTTCTTATTTTTCATTTGAGAATTCCAATGCAACTACTCTATTTGTCTTTCTTCTCTCGTTCAAAAATCTATCCGAATTTGTTTGTTATTTTTCCATGAGCAATCCAAACACATCATCTTTCGAATTCCCATGTTGGATTCGTACTTACGTGACAGTCTAATGATGTTTTTTTTTCACTATTCCTATATTTCTAAAATCTGTGTTCTAAAGAAGCCATACAACTCAATATTAGCCATCAGTTTCATTGGAGAACTTCTATTAGGCCTCCTTTGAAACAAAGGAAAAATGTAGGAATTCCAAAGAATTTATACTCTACAGGATATAATCCTATGAAATCTTTTGAAACAAAGGATTGATTCTTACCAATTCCTTTGAAATTCATATGGAATGGACTATTGTAAAGTAATTTTTGAGGAAAATAAGCATGAGGTCTTACCTCATGTTTTGTTCTTCTTGTGTGTTGAAATCTTACGTTTTTTTTTCCTGTCACTATCAAATAGTAGTTTTAAAACTTTCATCTGTTTTCGAATCCCTTAGGTATCCAATAAATATGATATTCTATTTCTACTTTTTTCCTATTCCTGTGTCAGTGAATATGATATTCTATTTTTATGATTTTTTTTTCTATTATCATGTTTTGACAATTCTGCATTTCAAAGGGCACTTAGCCTTCACCTCGTTTCTATTTTGCTTTGAACCACAAGAAAGTGGAAATTTTGGTTGAGCAACTTGCTTTCCTCCATTCCGAAGTCCAAACACCTCCATATGAGGAGTGAAAAATAAAATCTTTTATAGATCGTTGCAGTAACTATGTCCCAATTAATGTCTCGTGTAGCCAGCCGTGAAAACTTTTGTCACCAAAGTAAAGTGGCAATATTTATCTTTGCAAATGATTATACATCTGTAGGTAACATATATGTTTACCAAGTAAAAAAAACATAAATATTAGGGAAGTGCCTAATATCAAATAAATAAAAGGGGTGAGGCTTTGAATCTAGGCCGACTAGGCCATCATATTGTGGAGCTCCTAAGCGTTTCTCATATGGTCGCTAAGGAAAATTTTGATAATTTGACACTTTTTTCGTTGCCCAATTGTTTTAATTGATATTTGTGAGGATGACATGTGAAACCATCTAAGTAAATGAAAGTGGGTCATGATGTCGAATAATCGAAACACATTTAAAAGAGTGTTAAACTATCAAATCTCTTGCCAACCATGCTTAACCAATTATAGACACACCCAAATCCCTAATTACCTATGCAATTGATTACCACTCGTATAAACATATATCTACCGTGCTTGTCTCGGTTGAGTAGAAAAAGAAATATATATCTACAGTGCAGTGCTATGTACAGTTCCTCAATTCAATGTACTATCGAATCCAAGTCTTCAAGCGCTCGCGGCGATCCGGCGCCTCCGCCGACCATGGTCGAGACAGCAGAAAGTTTCAACCCAAACAAGAGACGGCGCGGCGCAGGGCTCGCCAGGGTGGTGGCCGTTCGCCCGTGGTCTTGCCCATGCGTCGGCGAGCGTGAAGCAGTCGGTCGGAGTCGGGAGAGCCTTGCCGAAGAGGGGATCGCGGATCACGGGGTTCTCCGGGCGCTCAGGAGGAGGGCCAGTGAACAGAGGAGCATTCTTCTTGGACATTGGTTCGACCATCTGCAGAAAGTCCAAATGCTTCATGGGTCAGCTCCGTTTATCAGCATTGAGATTCGTTAATCAGACAAAATCATATCAATATTGTAGAGATCCTGCCACAATATTCATCTATAGATAAAAAGGGAAATTTAAAAAGTCATTTGAATTTTGAAAATTACACCCCATAAATCATTTTGTTGTAAATATAAATGCGCACCCTCTAGCCAGTTCGATTGCAAAAATCATCTCAATACGCGCGTGCTTAACTGAATCAATATATTTATCAATGTAATATTTAACAAAACTAAATACCTTAGGAGTATAGTCTTAACACTTTTCTTTGAGATTTCACAAATAAAAATGCTGATGAGAATTTAAACATTATCGCACTGAGATTCGCGTTAATTAGAATTCAATGAAACATGAAGAATAAATCTAATGTAAGCACTTGGATAAGATTGACTTAGCTATCTTAGTGGTCATGCACATGTATATTGGGATGATTTTTTGCATAAAATGAGGGGATGTGTATTTGCAACAATATACTCCCTGCATCTATTTTTGATAGTTATATTTCTAAATCTGAAAAATTTATTTTTGTTAGGCATATTTCAATTCAACAACATATACTCTTAATGACTTTCTCGGATTTAATGCATGGCTCTCTATTCTTTCACACAAGATTGACTACATGGGCATCGAGAAAGGTAAATATTAATGAATCGGTTGTTTACGAGGAATGACTAGCAGTATGTTTAAATGAATGATAAGTAGAATTACTTATCTTTGATCTGTGTACCAAGATGAAATATGAGTATCAAAAGGACTCATAGGGTGAAGCAATTTCAGTACTTCCGAGACAAAAGATCATGAATGTGCAGGCAACAACAAATAGGTCCCCAACTAAACATTATACCCATGACTCAAATATATTGGTTGTAGCTCTGTTGAGTCAAGGCCGGGATATAGATTCCATTATCTAAAAAAAATAACTCAAATATATACTAACGTGTTTTGGAAAAGCCTATACAGCACCAAAGAGGAGCTAGCGTTAATTAGTTTTAGATTTGACAAAACCTATCGTACGTTCCAAAATTTTATTCTGAAGATAAATCGTACGTTTCATCATAGTGCTGCAGTTCCTCCTGTCCCAAGAGTTAATGGCCAAATGTACCGATTTCTGAAGCCATATTATGTACTGTGCACGCGACGAATGCATGAAAACAGAGAACAGAAGAATGAATAGTAGCAAATGCGTAGCAGAACTGCAGTATGGCGAGGCGAATCCAGAAGGATCAGAAACTGGAACAGCGGCAGCACGTACCTCGTGTACCAGGTCGCCCTGTTCAGCGTCAGATACCACGCCCCCATCCCCGCGAGAGACGGCCAAGGACGGCGGCTGGTGGGGTGTGGGCCGGAGTAGCAGCACCGGCGGCGGCTGGGACGACGATCCTTCTGCTTCCATCGAAAAGCTTCTCGCAATGCAACGCGAACTGCAGCGTGCGTCGTCGCCGGCCGGGTCGGTTTGCGGTGGCCGGCGGTGATGGCGTGTAGGGAGGAGGAGTACTCGCATATGGCGCGGGGTGGGGGAATTCTGGAAACCCGCGGTGAATTTATGGTTATGACGAGAGAGATAGAGGCAAGTAACGGTTGGTTTGGAAAGTCGAAACCGAGGGGTAGGGAATCCGCCATTGAAGGAGTCTCCACGTCGGTGTGTACATGGCCAGTTGTCCGTCCACGCCCGAGATTCCCTCTGCCTCTTCGACTGCGAGGATGTGTACGGCGTCGTCCGTGTGTTGCGCTGCGGAGGGAATCAGATCGGGGGCTTCATTAGATTGCGCTCTAATTATAGCAGTGGAGCATGCGGGAAGATGCCCCCTGCCGCAGAAAATCTGCATGCGGGTAGGTCAACACGTTGGATGCTTGGAGTCCAAATAATTACTCGGTATGTCTCAAAATATAAGTATTTTTTGGCTGTGAATCTGAACAACTGTGTATTCAAATTTATAACTAAAAGTTATTATATTTTAGAATAGAAGTAGTAATTAGCAACTATTTGCACGCTCCTCCCCACGCAGCGCGCGGCGGATCGAGCCATGTGACTCGCGCGGAGAGGGCCGTCTTCGGAACGGTGCGTGTGCCTCCGTTTTTTTCCTGTTTATTTTTCTGGTTTCTTTTCTTTTTTTATGTACGTTTGTACACGTACTTATACATAAAAATATATACACATCTCTTCTCTATCTCTACTATTACTAGCCATCTAATTTGGTAAAAAAAATATTTGTTTTTAGAGAAATAATCTGCTATATATTTGTGGAATATACATGATGTTTAGTTTGGATGATTTGTAGCATGGGAGGAAATGAATGGACGAACAATGCATGTGCATAAAAAATAGATTATTTATTTATATCTAATATATGGATTGACAAGATCATCTTGTGATATATTTGCCAAAACCTTTTAGTACCTGATGTGACAACAATTTTTTGGGTGAGCCTGTATATAAATAATAGAAATTTAATACAAATTATTCCTATTTTTTAATTTTTTGTTGAATACAAAAAAATTAAACAATAAAAATAAAAAATGAAAGATTATATTTAGAGTTCATATAGAAATGAAATTTAGAAATAATATAAATTATAAATTATATTGGATGAAGTCTAGAATATTCTCCAAAAGAGGCTAGAGTGCATATAGGAATACAATTTAGAAAAAGAATTGAAATTTGAAATAAAAAATAATATTTTTTTGAAAGAAAAATAAAAATGGATATTGAAAGGAGAGTTTACAGTCCATATAAAAATACAATTAAATAATAAAAATAAATCCATATCAAGAGATACATTTAACAAAATTTCTCACTACTTCAATTTAGATAGAAATAAATTAATAAACAGTCATAAACAATTTAAATGATATTAATGCTATTTGTGAAAATTAAAAAAAACTTAAAATCAATAAGAGAGAAAAAACTGATTTAAGCCCGACCCAATAGAGCGGCCTTATGTGCTTCACACATGCGGTCGGCCCATGGGATGGCCCAATAGCGCAGCAGCCTAAAACGTCGCTCGGCCCGACGTGGGAGAAGCATGGACTGTCCGATCTGATGGACAGTCTCGATTGGTCCTGACCTAGATAAATACCCGCAACCCTAACCCTAACCTTAAAATATCTCTCTCGATACCCTAACGCGCTCTCTCTCCCTTTCTCTCTTGTAAAGTGACGGTGGCGGCAGCGACTATTCCAACGGGTGGTGACGGCAGCGGCCTTCCCCACCGAGCAGCGGCGACGACGCTCTTTTGCCCCGCAAGCAGGAAGTGGTGCCCTACCCTCTTGCAAGTGGCGGCGGTGGTGACACCGCTCCCTCTCCCCACCACTGGCTCCTTCTCTCCTCATCGGGCAATGGCCGCCGCCCCGCTCCTCGCCAGATCCGGCGGGTCGACGGCTCTCCAACAGCACGGCGGCTCGGGATCTAGCTCCTTCCTCTCCTTCTCAGCATCCAGCGGAACGACGGGTTGGTAGCTCCTCGGCGGCGCGATTGCACAGCGGATCCCCCGAGTTCGCGACCTCCACTACAGCGAGGTGGCGAGGAGCAGCACACGACGGCCTCATCTCATGTTAATATTTTGAATGTTCTTTGATTTGTATTGTGATGATTTGAGCATCATTATAGGTGCCCCTTTTTTTATAAAAAATAGCACCTATAAAACCGACACCTATAAAATCGAGCCGAGCTAGCCAGGGAGATATTTTTTTCTCCCGTGGGGCCCACACCCACACCGGCAGGAGGGGATAAGGCCGTGCTCCATTCCTCTCTCGGCTCCTCCCCTCATTTCTCCCCCACTCTCTCTCTCCCCCACTTCTCCCTCTCTCTCTCTCCTCTGTGCGGCGGTGGCGGGAGGAGCGGCGGTGGCGACGGACGACATGGAGGTGGTTGCGGCCCGGCTGGGGCGGGAGGGGCGGCGGCCCGGATGGCGTGGGGGCAACCGGCCGGACCTCGCCTTCGCTAGATCTGGTGGTGTGGAGGTGGCTGTGGCCCGGCGGGGGTAGGAGGGGCGGCGGCCCGGACGGCGTGGGGGCGGCCTGGTGGACCTCTGCTCCGCCAGATCTGGCGGTGTGGAGGCGGTTGCGGCCCGGCGGGGGCGGGAGGGGCGGCAGCTAGGACGGCGTGGAGGCGGCCGGCCGGACCTCGCCTCCACCAGATCCAGCTGTCGACGGGGGATACCCGTAGACCGGATATAGAGGGTATTGTGGTACGTTGGAACGAGGATCTACGTAATACGACATCAAGCAAACAAAAGATAAGGATTATACTGGTTCAGACCCCTTGGTAAGTAATAGCCTTAATCTAGTTGGTATGGGATTATATGATGGAAACCACAGATTACAAAGGGAATAATGGAACTTGGCGATAACGACGAGATCGTAGTCGAGTTGGTTCGACTAGATCACCCGGCGACTTGGCTCCTGTAGGCTCCGGCTTCGTAGGCTGTGGTGGATGTGTTGGCGGTGAGATTCGATGCCCTAGGTCCTGCCCGGGGGATCCCTTTTATACCACGGGTCAGTTGATCTCCAAGTAGGACTCGGAGATATTAGACCCCTCACGATATGGTAACGACCCAGTCTTGTCCAAGTAGGACTCCTTCCATCTGTGGACTCCGCTTCTGTCAGATGATAGATTTCCTTAACGTATACAGGAAGTATCTGTATATGCGTGGGTATACCGTATCAGCATACAACGTATATATATCCAAGGATAGAGGGTATACCTGTTGATGAAAAACATGAGGCATGGGAGATCTGCTTAACTCCAGTGCAGGTCCAAAACTCGCCTTCGGGTATGCTAGCGTGCCAGTTGATTTGATCCTACAATCAACAAGAAACAAAGACAAGGAACCACTTCATCTGATTTGATCCTACAATCAACAAGAAACAAAGACAAGGAACCACTTCATCTGATTTGCCTTCGGGTATGCTAGCGTGCCGACTTAATAGATCAAACTCAACTGATACAGCATTAAGTATGAAAAGAAGAACAATATCTAGACAATCAAGCCGCTGGAAGTTTCAGAGTGGTAAATATCTTGCATAATCTAAATCAACGTCAGAATCTAACCTAATCGGCTGCCCTCTACTAACAGATGTTAACCGATTGTAGATTAGATAGCGATATTGCCAAAGATTATGTGAGATATATGATAACTCGACGAATTACATAAACAAGATTAGAGTGTCATAAAGATGGAAGCACTAATCCCGAGAACGCAAGCCGTCATAACAAGCTTTACCTCTTGTTGAAGATCGAAACCGATGCAGCTCAACCCGAACGCAAGAACTCGTCCAAATAAAACTAAAGCAAAAGAGTGGCGATGCACTGAAATTGTATTGTACGTGTGTTAAAAATTACATAGGGCTCGGGGTCTTATTTATAGCCGAGAATTACAAGATATGTCTATACCGGACACGACTATTATCTCTAACAAACTCTAATATACCATAAGTCTTTGCGGCAGACTTTTGCCCAAGCATATCTCTAAGGAAATTACATAAAATATCCTAATTAATAGATACAATTGCCTTCTCAGGACTTTATCCATGCGCGGCAATCATCTTGAAGCACCACAATTCAACCCGATATCGCACACCAAGTTGTATTGTCGGAATCGGCTGCATCAGGCTACCTAGTCCGACTCAGACTCATCCGATCCTAATCGTAGCCGATCTAGACTCTAGCCGATTCCTGCTCTGTTCCTGAATCGATCTCCGCCTCCGACTCCACTTCGATCTAATTTTCTTTTCCGATGCCGATGTTACCAAATTTGGTTGTTAACAATACCTTATTTGTAACCCTGACAGTAGCCTCTGACTTCTGCTTAAATGAACTCATGCAACCGATGGCGACTTCTGATGTCGGAATCGTTGTCATTCTCATCTGGTCGATCTCGATATGAGAACCGTAGAGACAAAGAGTTATTGACAACATCGTATGAAGTTCAACGGTCATGAGTGAATTTAAATTGAAGTCTGAAAACTGCCGCGCGTAACGTACCCAGAATTTTTTGGCGGCAATCTCTCTCCTTTCCTTGGAATACGCACCGTCGGTAGTGCGCTTATTTAAAGGGATTTTGGGGATCCATTCCGAAGTCCGTTTGCCAGAAAGCTCTCCTGCCTTCTAGCGCTTTTCGTCTTCTCCGTCCCCGCAAAAAACCCTAGCTCACTTCCTCCATCCTGTTCTCCGTCAATCCTCCAGCGGCGATGGATCTTGAGAAGTCTTCCTCGAACACCGCGTTCATGAAGAAGCTGCAGTATGATGGTGCCCTCCCTGGTCGCGGGACCATGCAGAGGGAGGCTGGAGGTATAGAACCTGAACCCATCTTGGGCTGCATGGTTGTAGTTGACGATTACGTTTCTTGCGGTTTTTAGCCTCCGCCTTCCGAATTTCTTCTCCTCGTCTTGAACTTCTATGGTCTTTCTTTGCTTCACCTGAATCCCAACTCCATCGCCTTCCTTAGCATTTTCTCCTATCTTTGCGAGGCCTATATTGGGGTAGAGCATTTCCTTGATCTTTTCCCTTTTTTACTATGAGTTGCGTTGGATGGAACCCAAAAAGGTATCCGACTGTGTCAGATTCCGACTTCGGG